TTTCCTTAATTGTTATTGGTCTATTCAAGTGTTCTGTCTCTTTCTGGTTCAGTTTTGGGAGACTGTGTGTTTCTAAAAAATTGTTTTTTAGGCCTCGATTGTCCAATTTGTGGGCGTATAATTGTTCATAATATTTTTTAATGGCCTTTGTATTTCTGTGATGTCAGTTGTTACTTCTCTTTTGTTTCTGATTTTGTTTATTGTCGTCCTCTCTCTTCGTTTCTTAGTGAGTCTGGCTAAGGGTCCATCAATCTTGTTTATCTTTTCAGCTCTTTGTTTCATTGTTTCTTTGATCTTTTGAATTATTATTTATTTATTTATTTATTTATTTATTTATTTATTTAGTTAGTTAGTTAGTTAGTTTCTATATTATTTATTTCTGCCCTATTACTTTCCTTCCACTTGCTCTAGATTTTTCTTTTTGTTTGCTTTCTAGTTCTTTAAGTTGTAGGGTTAGAAAGTTAATTAGGAATTTTTCTTGTTTTTTGAGGTAGGCCTCTAGTGCTATGGAATTCCCTCTCACACCCTGGCCGGTTTTGCTCAGCGGTTAGAGCATTGGCCTGCGGTCCAGAGAGAGCCGGGTTTGGTTCTCTCTAAGGGCACGTACCTCGGTTGCAGTTGTCCCTGGCCCAGGTTGTGTTGTGCGGGTGGCAACTACTCCATGTGTCCCTGTCACGTCGATGTTTCTCTCTCTCTCTCCCCCTCCCACTCTATCTGAACAAAATATGGAAAAATGTCCTCGGGTGAGGATGAACAAACAAAAAAAATTCCCTCTCAGGACTGCTTTCACATAGATTTTGTGTTGCTTGGTGTTTGTTTTCATTGATTTCCAGGAAGTTTTTAATTTCTTCCTTGATCTCCTTGATAACCCATTCGTCCTTTAATAACATGTTATTCAGCCTCCATGTGTGTGAATGTTTTTGCTATATTTGATTCCTAGTTTCTTATCATTGTGATCTGAGAAGATGCTTGATATTATTTTAATCTTCTTGAACTTGTAGAGAGTTAGTTTGTGTCCTAACATGTGGTCTATCTTTGAGAATATCTCATGTGCACTTGAGGAGAATGTGAATTCTGCAGTTTTGGGGTGTAATTCTCTGTAGATATCTATTAAATCCATTTGATCTAGTGCATCATTTAGAAACTCTGTTTTTTTGTTCATTTTTTTGTCTAGAAGATCTATCCAGTGATGTCAGAGGCATGTTGAAATCCCCTGATATGATTAATTGTATTGTTGATTTCTTCTTTGAAGTCCTCCAGAAGATTTTTAATGTATTTTGGTGCTCCTATGTTGGGTGCATATATGTTAACCAAGGTTATATCCTCCTGTTGGATAGATCCTTTCAATATTATGTAGTGGCCTTCTTTGTCTCTAGTTATGGCATTCATTTTGAAGTCTAATTTTTTTGGATGTGAATATTGCGACCCCAGCTTTCTTTTCCTTGAAAGATTTTTTCCATCCCTACACTTTCAACCTATGTGAGTCTTTTGTTGTGAGGTGGGTCTCTTGTAAACAATATATATATGAGTCATGCTTTCTTATCCATTTAGCTACTTTGTGTCTTCTGATTGAAGTGTTTGATTCATTTACATTTAAGGTTATTATTGATATGTACTTATTTATTGCCATTTTTGTTTATTGTGGTTATATTTTCTTCCTATTTCTTCTACTAATTACAGCAGTTGTTTTTGTTTTTTGTTTGGACATTTCTTGCAGTGCTAGTTTGGTGCTAATATATCCCTTGAGCCTTTGTTTTGGTCTGGGAAGGTCTTTATTTCAGCATCTAATGCTATTCCCTTCTGGCCTGTAGTGATTCTGTTGAGAAGTCAGCTGATAGCCTTATGGAGTTCCTTTGTGGGTAACCTGTTGCTTATCTCTTGCTGCCTTTAGGACTCTCTCTTTGTCTTTAATTTTTGGCATTTTAATTATTATGTGTCTTGGTATGGATCTGTTTGGGTTCTTCTTACTTGGGGCTCTCTGTACTTCTTGTACTTCACTATTTCTTCAAATATATTATCTAAACCTTGCTCATTTTCTTCTTCTTTTGGCACACCTATGATGTGTATGTTGTTACACTTTATATTGTCCCACAGTTCTCTTCGGCCATCTTCCAAATTTTTTTATTGTTTTTTTTTTCTTTTGGTTTTTTGATTGGGTGATTTTTTCTACCTTGTCTTCTAATTCACTGATCCAGTCCTATACTTGGCCTATTATTCCTTGTTTTTTTTGTTTTTGTTTTTTATCCTCACCTGAGGATATTTTTCCTTTTTTTTTTTGTACAGATAGAATGGGAGGGAGAGAAAGGAAGGGGGAGAGAGTGAGAAACATCAACGTGAAGGGACACATAGAGTGGTTGCCACCCACACGACCAACCAGGGCTGGGGACAAACTGCAACCGAAGTATGTGCCCTTAGCAGGAACCGAACCCGGGTCTCTCCAGACCGCAGGCCGATGCTCTAACCACTGAGCAAAACTGGCCAGGGCTGGCCTATTATTCCTTTGAATGTGTTCTTTATTTCTGCTATGTCATTCTTCATTTCTAGTTGGTTGGTTTTCAATGTTTCTATATCTTTACTCATGCTATTGAGCTTTTAACTCATGCTGTTGAGCTTCCTCATTCTTAGTTATCTGAATTCACCCTCTTATACTGTATCTTGCCTAATTCTCTGTCATTTATTTCTTCTCCTGCAGAATTATCTTGTTCTTTCAGTTAGGATTTGTTTCTTTGTTTCACCATTTTGGTGATATTGGAGCCTGCCAAATTTTCCGTGTGGGTGTTGGTGTTCTGCTGATTGTGGCTCCCTCTACTAGGCTTGGATGAGTGTGAAAGGACCCATGTTAAACTCCACTGTAACATCTTACTTTACCAGGTGGATTTGCAATCCAAGGAAAGGTCAGTTATCCTCTAGTTATTTGCCTGAAGGCTATTAGTCTCAGTTGCTTGATTAGTCTTGGGTAGCTCTTGTTAACTTATTCAATTGAAATGTCAATGAACCTCAAATTACATTTATCTGGCCTGGCCTGGTGGTGTTGAATTCTTGTGGGAGGGTCCCTTGCTTCTCCCCAAAGCTACAGGAAGGGGCTCTTTGAGTAAGATGGCTAGTGTCTTGGGAGAAAGTGGCCAATAAACAGAGTTCTAGTAAATTGTACACCCTGAGAAAAGCCCCTATGAATATATAAAACAAATTACTGTTACTACTTAACATTTGCACTATGCTATTGTTTTATATTTTTCTCCCGATGTTTGCTTGGAGGACAAGAGCATGTGGAATCATGGCTGCTGTTTTTGACCATAAAGAGGACAGTTAGTTGATGACTGAGCAAGAAATGTGAGAAGTCCACCCACCTCCTGGGCTGCCCGAGTTTTAATTGTTGGGACTTGGGAAAAATGTGCTTCTTACTTTGTACCACCCTGCGTAGCTGGGATTTTGGGGTCCTGGTGTTGGCTGAACAAAATGTGACACCTGGACTTTGTGTTTTGGAGTTTTTCCCATTCTGATAGGTAAGAATTGCAATCCCATTGGAATCCTGGCTTTGTTACTTGTTAGCCAAGGCAACACATTTTCATGTCCAAGATGTGCCTGTACTTATTTTCTTTGAAATGTTTCTCTATTTTTGCATCTGTTGTAGGAAAGGGATAGCTGGTGAATTTATTTCTGTAAATTTTTAGCATACATTTCTGAATTCAGGAGATGAGTTCTTTGTCACAATTCTTGCAAATGGTTTCCAGAATTTGTCTTCTCCTTTGATTTTTTCTCATGTCTACACAATATTTCAGATTTTTATGTAGTTGTAAAACTTTATTTTTGTAATTTCTGAGTTTTGCATCTTTTCCACTGATGATTATAAAGCTCAGTCTTCCATGTGTTTGTGCTTTTGTGTCCTGGTGGTGGAAGCAGAGAGTCTCATGTATATTGATGGCAATTGCTTATTATTCTCAGAATAGTGGTGTCCATAGGGTAAAGATCAATTTGAAGGTACTATTAGTACAATATAGTTTAAGGATAGAATACAAGGTCAGGGCAGTAAAATTATTTATTGCACTTTGAAAAAAAAAAGAGTGGGTAGAAATAATTTTTTTCCCCAGAAGTAAGGCTTCAGTTGTACTCAGTGGTTTCACAGAAGTCTCCTTTCAGCTCAGGAGTGAAGGTTCTACATTGATATTTTTAAAATGTATTATTCTTCTTAGAATTTTATTAAAATTAGTAGAGACAGGAATTTATTCTAACTAGCAGAGTCAGTCTCTTTAGCGAGTTGACACCAACATCTTCATGAAACATTGAACAAGTCTAGCTTTTTGGGTTCAAAGAAGGAGCATTCATTTCACTGGTGATTGAACAATGCCACCTATACTGACTGGCCTCAGGGGTCTCCTTTGTATGGTCATTTTGAGATCCCCGAGTCTTGTCCAGACACTCCATTATCGGTATAGTTCTTACTTTTTCTTTGTTGGAGGCCCAGTGAAGCCTAGGTCACTCTATCTAGTTGATACATCTAGGAAAACTATGTGTAACTAAAATGCCTGCCTATCATGAGGAAATAACCATACACATCAATGCCCTCCCATATCTGAAAATCGAAGAACAAGTAACAGGCTATTGGGTCTGCCTCTCGTCAAATCAACGATGCCCCCTGGACACTCCATTGAAATTTCCTCTTTTGAGTTTCATTATGAATGAATTGAATTTTATAGGCTAAAATTGGCTTACTTAACGATCTTGTTCATTTTTCCTGGTGTGTTGTTGCCACATGATGCTCATGCTATGCATCACTGGGAGGCAAAGATCAGTTAACTTATGTGGAGCATTCAGGACAGAACTCTCTACTCAGGCAATCCACAGAAATGAGTCTTATGGAAAGAACATAAAAAAGCCAAACAGTAAGTTTCATGCTCTACGTTTATTATGGGGAGAGAGAGAGAAGGCACAGGTGCAAAGACTAAATGCTTTTCCAGGTTGTCAGAGGAATCTCAGCGTGTTTCAGGTTCAGTCCACAAAGCTCAGCGACAGCAAAGTCTGCGTGGACGGCCAGATATCCAACAGCTTCCATAGTATCTCTCATTTAACCTGCAGAAGGGGCTGGCTCTGTACGTGCAGACGTTTCTTTTCTGAAGGGCTACAGAGGGAAGAGCAGAGTCAGGCACAGGTGGAAGGGACAGGGAGCAGAGGCACAGCTGGCCTCATGGAGAGCTTCTGAGAGACACCTGTGTACACATTGGAGACAACACCTGCCAGGTTAGGGTGAAAGGATCCATGTGTATGTCCTAAATCACAAGAAATCTTACAGCTCTGTGTGCTCATGCAGGATCATGAATTTTCTCTGATCCTAGTCTGTGATGTAAATGCTTATTTCTTGCCCTTGGCCCCAACCGGCCTCTCTACTCAGGGCATATTGTCCTATGCTCACCTCGACCACACACCCAATTTTGAACCTCAACCCCATGCCACCTCAAACTGAGCCAATTTAATGGTTCACAGATCCCAGTAGCACATTGGCTGGTGTCTCACCTGAAGCTTCCCGAGTGAGACGTTCCTCTCCTGTGAAGGTGATGGCCATGTCCTGGTCCTCGGCCAGAAGCTGGTCCTGGTCCTTGGCTTCAGGCTGATCCCGGGCGGGAACCTGGTCAGCTGTCTCTTGCAGGCGCTGAGCCCGGGCCTGGAAGGCCACGAGGAGAAGGGCAGCGAGGAGAACGAGGGTCCTCATGCTGAGAGTCACCGGGAGTCAGGCTCAGGGGTAAGGAGAACTGAGTGGTGTGGAGGCGCAGTCAGCCTGCACTTATAGGGGGGAGGGGAAGGTGCAGACACACAGCACAGGGAGAGAAGCTGTGTCCGTGGCCGGCATGGGGCCAAGGCCACCGTCACCCTCAAAGCTTCTTTGATGGTCCCGTTCCTGCCCCTTCATTCCAGCATGACTGTTTGCTGAGCATCCACACTTGTTTCAAGTTGATAATGATTATGAGGGTCCTGGTATGTTTTCTGTTTCCCATCTGCTCCTCTATTTACCCTCTAATGTTCTAAGAGGACAAAGAACCCAGCTCTCATCAGTAAGTCAGGTAACAAAGGCCTCTTCCTTCTGATGCACTACCTGGTCACCCCCAAACGCCTCATCCCTGGGACCAGACCTCCCCCAATGGAGTGGACGTGCATTCTGCAGGTCAGGGCATCACTCCCTGTGGGGAGCTTGTCAGATACCTGGTGGAGAGAGTCTGTGGTGGAGGGGACAGTGACTTTAGTCTCATGTGTAGTGATCTCAGTGGTGTATGAAGAAAGGGATTTGTCAGGGGCAAGTCAATGGACAGACTTATTTCAGGTTGTCATTGTGATCTGTATATATCGCATAAACTGCTCACCATTTACTGGTGTCTTAACTGGACCCAGCTGGCACAAAGCTTGAGGGGCAGAGATATAAGACCACCGTGTGCACACTGATTCAACTCACCCAGTCTTGGAGTTCGTCAGCTCCTCCAAAACATATTTCCTTTCACTAGCTAAGAGTTTTAGGTGGCTGATGTCTTGAGGATACATGGAAATTCTGAGAAAAGGTCTTAGCAGCTTCTTGGAAATTCCCATAGTTCTACCCTGCCATGGGCAGCTGGGACCCCAGCCAGAGCCCTCTGGGGCATAGAGGGGTCTAGGCTGACTTGGCATAGTTGCCAAATATGTAACCAAACAAAAAAAACGAAGGTTTGTCTGCCTGCTGCCACAAAACCAGACTCATGAGGTACGTGCTGGTGTAAAGGGAAAAAGGTTTTATTCAGGTGCTGCTTGACCTAGGAGAATGGTGAACTCTTATCTCAAAGATCATCTCTTTTCCTGCTCATGGCCACTGACCTTGAAGGGATAGTGAGTGGAGGACATCTCTTTCTCTCCAATGATCTTGTTAGGATTTGGCATGCTGGGTGGGGTCCTGTCCATCTTTTTTCCTAGTTTTTGGAATGCTTAATGTAAGAACCTCTCCGTGCACCATTGTGGTCAATGGGGGAGACGTCCCTGTGCTCCAGCTAACTGTCTATGATAGCAGAACCACCATGATCCTTGTATTTTGTGTTTCCCTTATGCAGCCCAGGCTTAACTTGAACACTGTTATATCAACAGGTAAAGAATTGTATAAATATTTTTATTACTTATGTATTTATTTGTTAACCCTCACCTGAAAATAGTTTTTCCATTGGTGTTTAGAGAGAGTGGAAGGGAGGGAGGAGGAGGAGGAGGAGGAGGAGGAGGAGGAGGAAGAAGAAGAAGAAGAAGAAGAAGAAGAAGAAGAAGAAGAAGAAGAAGAAGAAGAGAGATCAGAGCTACACATTGATTGATTGCCCCCTGCACTTGCCATGAACAGGGCTGAGGAATGAACCTGTGACCCAGGTACATGCTCTTGACCAGAATAAAACCCATGACTTTTTGATGCATGGGTGGATGCTCTAACCAGTGGTTCTCAACCATCCTGATTGGGTGGATGCTCTAACCAGTGGTTCTCAACCATCCTGATGCCGCGACCCTTTAATACAGTTTCTCATGTTGTGGTGACCCCCAAACATAAAATTATTTTTATTGCTACTTCATAACTGTAATTTTGCTACTGTGATGAATCATAATGTAAATATTTAATATGCAGGATGTATTTTTATTGTTACAAATTGAACAGAATTAAAGCATAGTGAGTAATCACAAAAACAATATGTAATTATATATTGTGAAATATTAATTTCTAATGACAAAGAAATGAAATTCTGTCTTGAAGCATGGTGTAGCATGGGTAACAGTCTTAATGTAACAACAGTAAGCTATATTGCTACATTTTGCGACAGTGTGCGTAAAGAGCCAACGTCAGTGCGAAGGTTGAGATTGTTTCTTTCTCACCAGATGAGAAACTCTCTCTCGGGGCAGTCTTTGCAAGAGCACAGCGAAGATCATCTTCCACAACGAGTCTACTTCTGTATGTAGACTTGATAACCAACAAGCTGGAGAACCCTGTTTCACAAAGATATGTTGTTGGAAATGGAAGAAGAAGGCGCAACAGTCTCAGACAGAACAGGATATGACTGCAAACACTTGATCCAGAATTTTGTAACTGGCATTGTAGAGAAATCAGTCCTCGCTGCATCGCTGTTAACGAGTTCAATGAACTCTTGTGCTGTCTCAGGAACATCTTCAACTTTGACTGTGAATGGGCTTCCGGCGAGTGCAAATGGGGTGTCAGGTAGATTTGGAAAGTACAATGAAATTTTGTCTGCAAGCATGTGCAAGTGTTCTTTCACAGAAATTATCATCATAATCCTTTTGTCTGGTTCAATGTCATGTTCTTCAAAGAAAGCAGATAAGGTAGGAAACATGTAAATTTTATTTTCATCCAATTTTTTTTTGCCAAAGTTGAAGTTTCATTTGGAATGATCAGATCCTTTCAGACAAAATGAGGCATGTTGCATTTGGTCCTTGCAGTGAAAAATTTAACTCATTCAAGATGGCAAAGATGTCAACTAAGTAAGCTATTTTCTGCAGTCCACTTTTATCTCTGAAAAGTGCTTCAAAGTGCGGTCTTGCTTTCTGATTAAAAAACATTTTAAGTTCATCACAAAGCTCAAAAACACTTTTTAAAACTTTTCCTGTCGACAACCATCTCACTTCAGTTAGCAGAGCATTGTTTGGCGCATCGAACTCATTGCACAGTTGTGAAAACAGTCGACTGTTTAAAGTGCACGCCTTTACAAAATTGACAGAACTTATGACGCTTTTTATTATTTCTTGTAACTCTTGTGGCAGCGTCTTCGTTGCTAATATTTGCGGATGAATCATACAGTGAGTTCTGACGACTTTTGATGACTCATTCAGTACCAAACGTTGAAATCTAGATCGACATCCTAGCATAGCTGGAGCACCATCTGTGCAAACACCACAAACCTTTTCCCAAGAGATCTTATGCTCTTTCAGAAATGAACCAACTGTGTCAAATACATCACATGCAGTAGTTTTGTTTCAAGAGGTTTGCACCAAAGAAACTCATCTTTAAAGTCGCCATGATTAATATACCTCACGTAAACCAGTAACTGTGAACAGTTTGCAACGTCTATAGATTCATCAAGCTGGATGCTAAATATGGGAAGTGGAGCAGATTTAATTTCCTAGAATACCTGATCAAGAATATCAGCAGACATGTCATCTATTCTTCTGCAGACAGTGTTGTTAGATAAGAAAATTGCACTCAATTTCGTGACAAATTTGTTTCCGATCATAACTCGAACAATGTCTTTGGCCGCCGGCAACAGTAAATCCTCAGCAATGGTGTGAGGTTTCATAGCTCTGGCGATTCTGAGTGCCACCAGATATGAAGCTTCCATGGCTGCTATGTTTTGTTTGTGGTACTTGCCACCAGTGTCAAGTCTGGCTTCCTTGAGCCCATCAGCTTTGCTTCTGAAATAGTTGGTATCCTTGCCAAAATGACATTTTAGTTTGTTTGGCTTTATAGATTTGGCTGATAGAACTTCACAACAAATAACACATTGAGGTTTCTCTATTCCTGCTGTAATTATTGAGGTAAAACCATACTGTAAAAAATCCTCACTGTATTTTCTTTTCTTAACGTTCTTCTCTTCATGATCCATTGTCATGGGATGGTTTGCTAATGAAAATAATATATAACAATAGCTTTAATAATACAAACGATGATACATGGCATAGTTTAATCAATACAGTTTATTAAAGTTTCCTATGATTTACCATTCTCTGTGTTGTTCTTTTTACATACCTGTTACCATCACAAGGGGGCAGTATTCACATCAACCACAGCTGAATATAAAAAGACCGATCAGCATCCAGATTAAGTTCCCATGGTACAGATATATGTATTTTTGCAGTAGTTGATGATTTTAAGTACATGATTTTACATTTACCCAGTAATTATAATTTGTGAAGTGTCGTTTTACCTCCAATACTGCTGCTTTCAACACAGTAGCTGCTTTCAACAGAGTAGCTGCTTTCTACACAGTAGCTGCTCTCTACACATGTGACTGGTCCACATAAGTACATTATGGCGCCAACCCTGTCACATACACCTGTATTTGTTCCGGGTGATGGGGTTGATGCCATGATATCATCACGCTGGGTACTCGTACGTGGGCGTATCTGTATGTGGGCGTATCTGCATGTGGGCGGACCCTCTTGGAGACCAACAGAGGAGCGGTGTCTCGGTTCCTAAGACCGTCGGAAATATGTGTTTTCCGCTGGTCTTAGGTGACCCCTGTGAAAGGGTCATTCGACCCCCAAAGTGGTTACAACCCACAGGTTGAGAACCACCGCTCTAACCGTTGAGAGACATTGGCCATGGCCGCATCACTGTTTAAAATAAATTTTGTTTTTCTTATTGACTTTAGAGAGAGAGGAAGGGAGAGAGAGAGAGAGAGATATGGGAACATTAATGAGAGACCACACTGACTGGCTGCCTCCTGCATGACCCCCACGGGGGATTTGGCCCACAACCTGGGCATGTGCCCTGACAGGGAGTTGAACTGACGACCTCTTGCTGCATGGGTCAATGCTCAACCACTGAGCCATACCAGCCAGGCACACATCACTATTTTTGTAGCATATACTCTTCCATTGTTTTATATTTCACCATTTTACAATTTCTAATTGATCATTAAATTTTTATAATTTAGTTATTTCTAAACATGGCAGTTACAAGCATAACTGCATACATGTCTTTATACATGT